CCCCCTTCCCTTTTGCGGTCTCTGTGCCCTTCCCCGATCTTCATGACTTTGCATTTGACAGGGTTAAATTCGAGAAGCCAGTTGCTGGACCAGATGTCCAGTTTGTCCAGGTCTATTTGAAGTCCTGCCTCATCCTCATCTGATTTAATTCTCCTAACTAACTTCACATCATTTGCGAACAGGGACACTTCTGATTCTAACCCTTTCATCATGTCATTTACATATACCAAAAATAGCACTGGTCCTAGGACCGACCCCTATGCGACCCCGTTCGTCACAGGTGCCCACTGTGTGTGTGTGTGTGTGTGTGTGTGTGTGTGTGTGTGTGTGTGCTCACCTAGTTGTGCTCACTTAGTTGTGGTTGCAGGGGTCGAGTTACAGTTCCTGGCCCCGTGTGCGTGTGTGTGTATTCACTGACAGTCGTTCATTAGGATTTATCTTTGAGTTCATAGCCTACATGGCACTGAGGAGACGAGAGAAGAAATGTACTATGGAAGCTTCTGGGTCTGTGGAAAGTGGCAAGTGGGTCACAATTGGTGACTGCTGAAGCAGACATGTCACAGACGTGCTGTCTGTGAAACCTTCTTATTAGTAAAACTCGTAGCTCTGGTAGAACGCTCGATGTGCTACTTGTCAGGACCACGGTTCGTGCCCTCATCCATTCTTTTGTTTATTTATTTATATGTTTGGCTTAAGAAGCTGAAATCGTTGAATAAACCGAACTCCCTTAAAATCGGAATTGAAAAAAAAAATTAATATTACTTAAAATCAATGACATATATTTTCTTCGCTGTATTCAGATTGACTTTCGTAGATTTATGACAAAAATAAAAATTTCACTCTACTTAAACGGCAGAAAACACCCTTGCTTTTTAGGCCTAACTCACCGGTTTGTGCATTGAATATATATATAATATATATTATATTTATATATATATATATATAATATATATATAATATATATATATATATATATATATATATATATATATATATTATATATATATATAAACAGGCCCATGAAATGAGCCTAATAATCTGAGACCTACATTCCAAGGTCCTTTCATATCATTATATTACACAGTTTCTCTCAGCTTTTAATATTTTCCCAGTGAGAATTCAAATGAACTTTTCACTTTTACCGCTACTTTCTAATTCTGAGTCAGCCGGTTGCTCTCCTTCACCCTTTCTCTTGTATGTCTATGTATGTGTTGTAGCAACTTTTTTTGTACGCCGTTGAATTTAAAGGCTTAGAGGTGTTATCCTATCTCAGTTTATTTTAAAGCTCAGCTTTATCCAGGATACACTATTACACCTACAGGATGCCTCCCACATGGGTACCTATTTGCTGTTAGGTAAACAAGAGCAGCAGGACTAAGTAAACGTATCCATAACTTCGACTCTCCCGAAAGCAGAAGACTCGGCAGATGATGCAACATCCCTTCAATAAAAACCAGGGGTGTCACTAGCACGATAAGAGACAACACAATAAGTGTCAGGGGCCCAAGACTTCTACTGACTCCCAGCATACATAAGGGGGATTACCAATAGACCCCTGGCTGTCTTCAAGAAGGTGCTGGACAAGCACCTAAAGTCAATACCTGACCAGCCGGTTTGTGGTTCGTACGCCGGGTTGCGTGCTGCCAGCAGTTACAAACTGGTTGATTAGGCCCTGATCCACCATGAGGCCTGGTCACAGACCGGGCCGCGGGGGCGTTGACCCCCGAAACCCTCTCTAGGTATGCCTTTCGAAAATTAGCTGAAGGTGCTATGACAAGCTCCACAATAGTAGTCGCTCGTACATGCTTCACATCACTTATTAAACACACTTCATAATACCTGCAACAAACGTCATGCAGGTGCAGCGTAAAAGCAGGTTTTATCCAAGGCATTTCAAGATCACTGAGAATGCGGTGTCAGGTTTCAGTCATGAGAATTCTTGTGGTTTTTCTTTACCCTGACACACCTACAGTGACCAACTTAATAACAACACATCATTGTTAATGTAAATGACGTATTTTCGCAGTGTGAATATTTGCAGTGAATAAGTAAATTCAGCAGTTTTCATGATTTACAATAATAATAATAATAATAATAATAATAATTTTAACTAATAATTCCTCGAAGCACTAAGGACAGAGTGTGTAAAAAAAAAAGTCAGCTAGGTGATTATAGCTAAATATACATAAATATACATATACACAAAACTCACACATTAATATTCTCTCATCAACATAAAATCTGCGAGGATGAAAGAAAACTTAAGACGGAGTACTGACTCAAGGTCAACAGAGAATTATAACAAACTTCAACACCAAGAATAACTAAGCAAATTTAAGATAAAAAAAGTAAGTGAACTGGAAATAGATAAAAGCTGAACTTTGAAATGTGTAAAAATATGTATTAGAACAATATAACACAAGTCCCATGACACCCAACGTTTGTGTCAGTTGACGTCTTTAAAAAGTAGTCGAAAATATTGAAAGATAAATAGATTTCCTGATAAAACATTATTATTATTAATTATTATTATTATTATTATTATTATTATTATTATTATTATTATTATTATTTATTATTATTATTATTATTATTATTATTATTATTATTAATTATTATTATTATTATTAAATTATTATTATTATTATTATTATTATTATTAATTATTATTATTTTTATTATTATTATTATCAAACCA